TTGCAGCCAAATATCTTGAAGAATGAGATATCCGGATTTCTGTTGAAAAGAATTTCATAAGGAGTCTTGTCGAAACGTTTGTGGATGGATATTCTGTTCTGAGTGTAGCACGCAGTATTGATTGCCTCTGGCCACATGAAATGAGGCAGTCTGGATTGGATAAGCATGGTGTGTGCCGCTTCAACAAGTGTAATGTTCTTTCTTTCAACAACTCCGTTCTGTTGTGGAGTTTTGGCTGCTGCAAATTGCTGAGTGATACCGAGTGATTCATAGAAATCAGTGAGAGTTTGATTCTTGAACTCGATACCGTTGTCAGTTCCGGTTATTCGAACACTGTGTTGTATCAGGTTTTGGATGGTTCTGATGAATGTCATAATTGTTTCTGCTGCCTCGTCCTTTGTACAAAGAAATTTCGTCCATGTGTACCTTGAGAAGTCATCAACGATCACGAGTGTGTATTTGCGACCATTGATGCTTTGGACTCTCATAGGTCCACAAAGATCCATGTGAATCAGCTGCAGCGGATGAGTAGATGATGGAGATGGTTTTGACTTGTGGAAGCTTCGCGTCATTTTGCCCATTTTACAGGCACTACAATGATTTTCAGCGGAAGACTTCAACAGAGGAAGCCCCTTCACAAGTTTCTTGGAGGAAAGGATGGAGAGATTCTTGAAATTCAGATGGGAAAGACGTATGTGCCATAAGTTGTTTTGTTCTGTTGAGGCTTTGGACATCAGACAGATGGAAGTGGTAGATTGTACACTTTTCAGATCAATAGTGTACAAGTTTGATGTCCTGTAACACGTTAATAATGAGTTCCCCACGCTGTCCAGCACACAGCATTGTTTTGCAAAGAACCTCACTTCCATCCCGCTGTCACAAAATTGTCCTATGCTCAGTAAGTTGTGTTTGAGCCCTTTGACATATGAAACAGCTTTTATAGTGACACTGGCACAGATGACATCCCCATATCCAAGAATGGGAGAGGAGGCGTCGTTCCCGAATCTGACATTGGCTCCGTAGCAGTTGGTGAAGTTGCTCAACAGATGTTTGATCCCGGTCATGTGGGTTGAGCATCCAGAATCTAAGTGCCGCACATGACCGTCCTTCAAAACAATTAAGCAGGTTTAGGTACACACCTTGGGATGGGTCCTTCCTTATCAATAGAAAACACCTTTCTAAGCTTTTCTTTCAGCTGTGTTCCAAGGTCAACAACTTTTTCACCAAAAGATTTTTCTTTTGCGGGCTCTCTAATAGCCAGATTTTCCTTTGCAGTGGGTCTAGATTTGAGACCCCACTTTTCAGTTTCAGTTTTAGTAGGTCCATGTTTGGGGACCCACTTTGCATTTTCTGTTGTGGTGGGTCTGTTTTTGGGGACCCACCTTGTGTTTTCAAATGTGGTGGATCTGTTTTTGGGGACCCACCTTTGATTAAGTTTGGGAGGAGAGTAGACATTGGCTTTGTGATTGAATGGTTGTTTCTTGAGGTGAGTTTTAAAAATTTCCTCCTTAGAAAGCCTATTAAGATGTTTCCCCGAATGAACTCTGAGGGGATATTTCATATGAGGTATACAAAATATTCCCTTAGGAGTTTTATTCTTGGCTTCCTTTCCTAGTGTGGACTTTCTTTGAGGTTTGACTTTAACAACATTCACATCACATTCATAATTATGAGGATCTGGAACAGAATAACCATAAGCAATACTAGAATTAGAAATAGAGCATTGTTCAAAAGATGTCACAGAATTTTTCAGCTTGGGACTCAAAACTGAACTGTTAGAAGTTGGTTTGACAGTGACAGAATTACAATTGACTTTAGAATACAAAATAGAGCTGGATCTAGAGCCAGTCTTCTTCTCAAAAACTTTCTTCTTCCCTTCAGTGATTTCTTTTCTTTTCTTCCTCCACTCTTCCTTCCCTTCTCCCTTCTTTTTCACTTCTTGTCCTGTGAACAAAGGAGAAGAGCGATGAGTGGATGATTTTGTGAAAAACTTCATTTTGTCAGGAGAGGTGTGAGCATTCGTTAACTCATTATTAGAAATGGTTTGAGAAGTTGTTTTTGAATGATATTGTTCACTCAGTTCATTGAACTTATTAAGAAGTTCCTCCCAGTTACTCTCAAAACCTCTCTTTTCAGTTTCAAATCTCTCTCTCTCGTTATCTAGAGTTTTCTGAAGGTTTTTGAGTTTTTGAGCCATTGGAAAAATACAGGGTTCCTCTCCAATTTTTGAAATACCTACCCTTGGAGGTGGGTCTAATGGATGTCCCAGGTGTGATACATCCTTCGCAACAGCATAAGGATCCTGACACTCATTAGTACAAAAACTTTGGTCTTCGTGTGTGAGGTGTTTTTCATTTATAGAAGGATAATCACAAGAAATTGCAGCCTTAGGGTTCTTTCTCTTTTCTTCTTCTTCTTCTTCTGCGTTTTTTTCATCACTTCTAAAATACATTTTCTGACCAAAACCTAGTCCCATGTAATCTTTGTTAAAAATCTGAAGACAGTCAACTTTCTTTAGATTACACGGGTTGGTTATGCGAAGTCCGGTCCTAGGATTGTAGAACCGGTCATCACTTATTTGATTCAGAAAAATTGTTTGTTCTGTTTGTCCTCTCCTGACGATTATGTCCTCAGGTTCCTTTATCTTGTTTAAAAGAGCCTTTCTTTTGTTTTGAAGAAAATCGCAATCAGCCTTTGCTGTGTTTTTCTCTCTTTCACTATCTTGCAATTTCTTAGTAGTCTCATCCATTTTAAGTTCAAGACTTTCAAATTCTGTAGAAACTTTTATGACCTGCTCTTTTGCATTTTCTAATTGAATGCTTAGAGATGTCTTTTGGTCCAGATTCTGTTTCAGTACCCTGTAATTATTGTCTAATCTCTCTTTTAGTTCTTTAATGATGTTGTCCTTTTCAAGTAAGGATTGATAATGATTAGAAGTACTTACAGTGCTTGTGGAGTATTCATTCCCGGGGATCGCAGCATCACCCTTTCTATCTTCTTCTTCTTCCAACCGTGCCATCAATGCATAGTTTTCTTCCTCCTCCTCCTCATCAGAAGTGTCTTCAGCCCAATGATCCTCTTCAGCAAGCATGGCAGAATTTTCTTCTTCCTTCTGCACCATGAGCATCTTCTGCTTGTTCCACGGCATCTTCTGTTTGTAGAAGTTTGCATCCTTCTTCTTTGGAAGGCGACAGTCTTTTATGACATGTCCGGCCTTCCCACAGTTATAGCATTTTGGAGCATCTTCAGCTGTAGGTGCCCTCCCAGAAGAGCTTTTTTTTGTAGTTTGTGGAGGAGGTTCTTAGTTTGTTTGAGGATCCATTCTTCTTTGCAAATTTCCTGGTCAATAATGCCATCTTCTTCTGAAGGTCAGCAAGTTCAGCCTCGAGGTCAGGCTCTTCTTCATCGCTTTCTTCATCTTCTGACTCAACCACTTCTTTCTTCTTCTTTTTCAGTGGTTTGGTTGTTCGTCGAGGCTGTACTTCTATCATTAGAGCCAATGGGTTTGAGCTGGACTGATCCTCAGAGCAAGCACCGTCATTGGCAAGATGTTTCAAGTGTTCATGAAGGGTGCGGAGATCAATTTCATCAAGGTCAATGTGTTGCCTCACATCCTTTACAGTCTTTCTCCATTCGGGGTGCAGGCTGGACAGAAATCTTATGTTCAATTCCATATTGGACTTGAACACTTTGATCTTCCTCGGTTCATTGATCAATTGGACAAATCTGTTGTATGTCTCGTTCAGTGGTTCTCTAGGAGCAGCTTTGAAAGAATCATAAGCAATGAGTGTGGTTGCTTTCTTGGTCTTCAAACTGATGCTGGTACCTTGGAGCAACTTTTCAATTTCGTCCCACATCTCCTTTGCAGTTTGCATGCTATCAATTAACACATAGACTTCATTTGGGATGGCTTGGAGCAGATATGTTTTTGACATGAGGTCACCTCTCAGCCTTAACTTGTCTGCCTCAGTATATTCTGATGGTACTTTCCTTCTCTGTTCAGGAATGATTGGTGGGTTATTCTCTGCATCTCCTCCAACTGAAATCATCAATTGAGCGGGTCCATCAAGGAGTGATTCAAGCATTGCATCGGAATTGTCCTTGTGTTCAAGAAAGTTTAAGAAACGATTTCTCCACATCTGATATTCTCCTCTCCTTAGAACAGGAGGAGTGCTGCAGTTTCCTTATGCATCAGAGTCTGTAGCCATTGTTGTAGAAAACTGACCGTTCGAGATTTTTATCAGAAAAAAAGTTTCAAAGACAGAACCTCGAGATCCTGAGTGTTGAAGAGCTAAACTCGAAGTCTAAAACTCGAGGTGAGAACTCGAGTTATAAACTCGAGATAAGAGTTTCGAGTTTTCACAAGATGAAATGTAAAACTCGCAGTGTCAAAACTCGAGTTTACAGTTGCAGGTTTTGCGTCTCGAGTTCTTAACTCGAGAGTTAAGGTTGCGAGTTCTAAACTCGAGTTTGCAGTTGCGAGTTTAGGCGTTCAACACCCTGAGTTGCGAGTTCCTGTCAAAAGAAAATTTCAAATTTTTTCAGAGAAAACAGATATTTTGTAGCCCTTTATGTTGAGTTCATGCTGCCCAAGTTTCTGGTCAGAAAGTTGAACGGAGCTTTGTGATAAATGGATTGCGAGTTCCTGCTTGCGAGTTTGCAGAGAGGCAAAAAATGCGGAAATGCAGAAAGAAGATATACTGCTTGATCGTCTCTGAGATGCGATTCTAACAGTATAACTTTTACAACTTTTAACGCAAAAACAAGATTACAGATAATAAACTCGCTAGCAACAGATAAACAAAATAAAGGCAGAGTATTTTGCAGGTCGTTCTTCTGATCAGCTCTCGATCGGCTCTGATATCATTTGTTAGTCCATGTTTTCTATAACAGCAATATTAAATGATCTATCAAGAAGCTAAATAGCAGAAAGATGAACAAGATGAAACCCTTCTTTGATAAACCGTGAACTCGTACAGAGAATGATATGCGCTACGGCTATTTTGATCGAGTACGAAAGTTAACGCAAACATAAACCTAAAGCGCCTTTTTATATGCGCAGGTATAAGGTTTGCGTAAAGGCTTTCAGCCTGATATGGGCCTGACACATTGGCCCCATATCTTTTATACCCAAATAAATACAAACATTAATAACAAAGGATATAATAAGAGCTAATCTATTACAAGACATATGACAAGCTTGATTCGCAATAAAATGATCTTCAACATGGCTAATTAATCACAACATTAATACGGAATTAAATACATAATTAAATCACACATTAATTGCTTTTGACAGTTATTGTTCCTGGCTGGCAGGTCGGCGTGGCTGGCAGGCTGGACGCTTGAGCTCCTCCTACTGGACTGGACGGCAGGCTCTCCGCTGGGCTGGAAGGCAGGCTGCTGCTGGACTGGAAGGCAGGCTCCCCACCGGACTGGAGGCAGGCTCCTGGCTGGAAGGCAGGCTGCTGGCCGGGCTGGAAGGCAGGTCATCTTGGGCTCCCGCTCCTTGATCGGCTTGATTGTTTGGGCCGTCTCAAGCGCTGGGTTGCTGGGCTTGGGCCTGCTGGTCCAAGTTTGTGGCCTGAACTGATTAGGCTCTGGGCCTAGTCCTATAACCCCATCAAACGGCATCAAAGCAGTGACATTCGCCGTCCACAAAAATAAGTTTCACGCCACGGCCAATCATGAAAGGAAACAACTGCACAACGTCCACAAAACTACGATTATGCCTTGGCCAAAAGATCAAAGCATGAATATTATACTCCCTTTTGCCTCGAGTACTCTCAACTCATAGAGTGGGGGGACTCCTGATAGAGTATATGGGGCCGAACTCTATGGCCCACATACTGAGAAGACTTATACAAAGACATTTGGCACTCATATGGCCCTCCATTGACCAAACCCATCGGCTCACAGAATGTGACTCAGAAGCCCAAGAGCAGAAAACTGGTCCTCCGTCGGCTAGGCCCTCCTTCGGCATGGCACCTCTTCGGCCAACATAGCTCTAGTAGACTACATTTTGTACTTATATCTGGAAATCATGTAATCAGCCCATTAGAGGCCTTATTTTTGTATCGAGCCTCCCAGGCCCAAGTCCTGGGAGCGCAACCCACATTTTTCTATATAAATACTTCCCTTTGGGATAGTTGTAGGGGATTGAGAAATTCTAATCACTAGCATTTTCTCTCTCTAGCTCTCACTTCTCTCTAGATTACACACACACTAGCGGCATATGCACTATGTGCGAATAATGCCCAATATGAATGATTAACAAAAATGTTTCAATTCTAATTTCATGACTTTTCTCAAAAGAACAATATATATGAGAAAACTAAGCATCATTCGTTCACTACCAAAAAACACGAGATTGACACAGTTTTTTTACAGGGATTTTTAAAAAATATAAGAGGATGTGACAGAGATATGTTAAACTCGTGCCCAAACCCATCGGCTCACAGAAAGTGACTTAGAAGCACAGGAGCAGAAAACTAGTCCTCCGTTGGCTAGGCCCTCCCTCGGCATGGCACCTCTTCGGCCAATATAGCTCTAGTAGACTGCATTTTGTATATAGATCTGGAAATTGTGTAATCAGCCTATTAGAGGCCTTATTTTTGTATCGGACCTCCCAGGCCCAAGTCCTGGGAGCGCAGCCCACATTTTCCTCTATAAATACTTCCCTTGGGGGTAGTTGTGACATCGCTCCCAATTTGAACTTAGATTTATTAATCCATTATTATTAAAATTTAATTGAAAGAGAAAATACCAATTTTGATGAGAATGATTAGTTGAATTGATGAATATGTATTCACTTTGAAACCTTGTTACAAGTACATTAATCATACTAGAAATGGTTAATTGATTAAATTAATACTGATCAGTTATATCGTGAGTCGGACCCTAAATATTGGGAGAGACTAACTAATATATTCTTGGACCATGCTAAGTTAATTAAAATCCCAAGAATAAGGAAATGAGTGACATATGAATGTTTGGGCCGAATAAAAGGTAAAGGAATATACAAAAGACTTTTCGAGCCCACTTACTAATAATATGAATGTAAAGGGGTTAGAGCCTGAAATATTGGAGAGGACTATCCAATACATTTTAGGATCGAACTACTAATTTCTACTAGCCTAAAGTAATATAAATAAATGAATAAAAGTCATTTGGGCTGGACCAAGATAGATTGAGTAACCAAAGTGACCTTCTACCCCAAATTACCGAAAATAGTAAGTATATGGGTGAAGGGCTTCCTACACTTTAATTCGGGATATCCCATACAAAATAAAACTCATAATAAAGGTGAGGATTACTTTGTAATTAGCTTTGGGCCGGATTAAATAAAAAGAAGGCAACCCATGAATACAACCCAACCCACTTACCCCAACTTTCTATTAATAGAAAGGATAAGGGGTGGGAAGGCTCATGTTCTCATTTGAGCACCACATACGTAAGGTAGAGAGCTCACCAAGGAGCTTCACACATGCTTTGAGCAAGGATAAGAAAGGGACTCCGGGAAGAAGAGAGCTCAATTCTAGGTAACCGAATGTTATTCCTGATCAAACTAGTTATATATTATATTTAATGAATATAACGTGTAAAAAATGATATAAAGTGTTGGTAATTAACTTAGGAGAGTTGTTGAATCGACATGAATCGAAATCGCCAGAAACCGCCATTGCTAGGAGTCTGTTTCGTGCTGCAGGGCCCGAAAGCCGGACAGCTTTTGCAGAAGTCGGGCGGTTTTTGTCTTCTGCTCAAAAAGTTCATGTCGGATCATTCTCGATCGAAGGTTTCACGACGGGGCTTCAATGGGGAAGGTTGTTGGATATATTTGAGGTGAGGATGGCTGACTATATTGTTTATAATTCGTGAGTTGAACATGAGATTACCTAAGTAATCAAAATATGATTGTGATGGAATTAAATAAGATGTTTGAATGTGAATAAGGTGTGATTGCTATGTGGTCATGGAAAATGATATATGATTATACAAAGGTGAATAAGCAAAGAGAATATGCATGAGGGGGGGAATTGATATTGTGGGATTAGAATGATATAAACAAATGTTGATAAATGTGTGATATCCATATGATCTTAAAAAGGATAAATGGATATTTATGTGGGTAGACAAAGTGGCGAAACGTGAAGTAAGGAATCCTTGAATTATTGTCATGATCAAATTGATATGGATCCTTAGTGATTACTTGTGTGTTCTATCTAGGATATTGAATAAGATAGACATGTACTTAGAATGAGTGATGGACTACGGTGATGCTCAAATGAAAAGGTGAAGTCTACCTAAAACTATACGATGGCAGCCCGGGGTGTCTTGACAAAGACCAGCCCGAGGTTGATAAATTATGAGTTCTCGAATACAACAAGTATTGTTGTGGTTGAAGCCACGGTCGAACAAAGATATAGAAGCTACGTGATATATTCGGGGTGTGTATGCCTTTGTCGAATAAAGGTTGTATTCGGGGTGTGTCCTACACGAATTAAGATTATATACAGGGTGTGTATGCCCTAAACGAATAAAAGATATTATACGGGGTGTGTAAGCCCTATATGAATAAAGCATTATACGGGGGGTGTAAGCCCTAAACGAATAAAGGTATTATATTGGGTGAGTAAGCCCAAAACGAACGAATACAACCGTAGGGTGTGTAAGTCCAGTATGGACGAGTACAAAGTATAAAACGTGTAACCCTTTCGATGGAATTGGGTTTAGACTAGGGGTGACGTAACCTCTCGAAGTTGCTAAATGCAAGTATAGGCCAAGGACTATTTAAAGGGAATTCTTTTGAAATACAAATGGGACTACGGGCCGACTATTTGATTGTTATATATACTATACACGTGATTTGAAATGGGGTAGCTATAGGTTATGCACATAATATAGTATCACCCTATGTTGAGGGTCTTGTGTTTGAAACATGGATTATATGCCGTATAGTTGTCATTGTACTTTTCAAATGCTTCAAAGTACTGACCTCCCCTTCACGGGGGAGGCCACCTCACAGTTTTCAGGTAGAAGCTAGATCTTGCTTCATGTTTCCGTTTGCTTCGGGTGATCTATGGAGAGAATATGTGGTTCGTGCGTTTTCGAGTTCTATTTTGATATAAATAAAATGATTGCTCATGGAAATTATTTTGAACTATAAATGACTTGGGAGCATACATGCTCATGTTTACCCTGTGTGACCTTTGACTTTAAAAAGTATTTGTTTTATGCTGCATATTTTTGAAATGTTTTACTTATGATTGTTTATGGATGTACTTGTGTGAATGGTATTCATGTACTCCTTGCATGGTTCAAGTGAGGTAGACCACGGTTGCCTTTATCGGATTGTGAGGCGGTTGTTAGCGTGTCTTACCAGTCCGGGACGTGACATTAGTTGTAGGGGGTTGAGAAATATTAATCACTAGCATTTTCTCTCCCTATCTCTCACTTCTCTCTAGATTAATACTCTATCATATATGCGCACACACACACTAGTGGCATACGCACTATGTGCGAATAATGCCAAATATGAATGATTAACAAAAACGTTTCAATTCTAATTTCATCACTTTTCTCAAAAGAACAATATATATGAGAAAGCTAAGCATCATTCGTTCACTCTTAAAAAACACGAGATTGACATAGTTTTTTACAGGGATTTGCCAAAAATAATAAAGGATGTGATAGAGATATGGCAAATTCGTTCCAAAAGCATTTTAGCACAAGCTATTTGGTATGAAATCATCTGTCAATCTATGCCAAATTAAGTGCATGTCAATCTGGTAATTTGTTATAGTGGTTCACATTTTAATTTTGGATGAAATGTAAGTATATATTAAAAAATCATCGAAAAGTAACAAAATACATGTATAAAAAATAACTATCTAAGCTAGTAACCTAACCTAAGATAGTAACTACCGTTCACACGCTCCCCCCACCTACCCCCACCTCATGACAAGCAGGGCTGTCTCCAGGAATTTTGGTGCCTCAGACAAAAAATGACTAATGAGATCAAATAGTACTTCAAATTAATAACATAAATAAATATGAAGTAAATAGAAAATTAAAACATCTTTTTTACTAAATGTAAAAAGAAATACTTGACTTAAAATTTATATAAAGTATGTGAAAATACTTCAAAGACCGAGTATAGTGTTTTTTGAAATTGAATACACTAACCATGGGCGGTCGTATTTTTCACCATTTGTCAAGCACCGAGTATAGTGTTTGTCACTAAAACTCCGTTTTTCATCTTTATCATTTGCCTCAAGATTTTTGTTTGAGATCGATGAAGAAGGATTTATTTTTACATACCTATCCATGGAACCCGCAAAAGATTGCACTACTTCATCTTTTCTTTTCTTAATTTTTCTCTTTGAAGCCCCCGTCTCTTGTTTCCTTTTTCCGTCATAGTAGACACTACAAAATAATAATTTAGCACTAATTATTAGGTATATTACGGAAAGACCGTTTAAAAGAACAATTTCAGACTAAGTTTGATAATCAAATAGACGAATAACTTTAATAAAATTAAAAGAAATATATATGTAATACAAAATTTCAAATTTAATACAACTTATAAATAATAATTAAAAAATTGAACATAGAATAAGTTATACTACCTCTGTCTCTTAAAACTTTGCCCAAATTGACCGGCACGGAGAATAATAAAGTAAAAACTATGTGGTTGAGGTTTGTGCAGAGGAGAGAGAAATAACAGAAACCACAAAATAATTGATCAAATGGAAACATGGCAAAGTATTAAAGGACGGAGGGAGTAAGTCTTTACCTGGTTGGCTGGTTTGCAGACGGGGCCAGGTCAGCCGAATGGGAGTGCCGTACTGCTATAGTGTAGTAGCTAGTCAATAGACAATTCACAGTACTACACTAGTCAGCAGTCAACTACCTGCCTACCTCGACCTTCGTCTGTGAGTCCATCCATATTCTATGGCCAATTAGCCTCCGTATGACCGTAGAGTATACCCGGGAGTAGCGCTGTAGGGACTTTTTAAATTCTAATTGATTTAATAGGCTACTAGGCTAATTTCCCACTCCGTAATTTCTATTGGTCCATCCGGCCTGGCAGCAGCCCAGCAGGTTGACAGGCTCCTTATATTCATATATTTATATATATAATATATAATAATAGTTTTTTATTAAAAAATGATGCCCCACTTGGGAGTGGTGCCCTAGGCCACTACCTAGGTGCCTAGCCCCCATGGCCGGGCCTGACGGCAAGGGTAAGGGAGAGAGGAGATTTGCAAAAGAAATCATAACTAGCACGAGACAGGCCCCGACTTAGTAACAAAATAGCGAAAAAGTTCACAACAACAAAATAAACATCAATCCACAAAAAATAAAGAGGCTGGACCGCGAGCTAATAAAAGCTCCCATGCCTAGCGCACATGTCCGCATCCTCCCAGCATCCAGGGTGAGTTTCCCCTATCGGCATGCATCTTCCTTCAGCCCAGCGAGTAAGGCCCAAATTCAAGCAATCCGTATCCAAAGAGCTAAAACCCTAGGTCAACCCAATTGTCATCGCATCCCATGCACCGCAGCAACTCTTGATCTTCAATTTGAAATTCAATTAAATGGATGTGAGATGTTGTACATCTGTACGCTGTCCATCTGTCTGTTGCATCGAACCCCCACCCCCAATCCCAGCCACCACACCTGGGTTCGGCTTTCCAGGTAGTCCGATGACCGGCGACCGGGGGAGAAAACCAAAGCCGGATAAATGACCCCCCATCCCCCCCCCCACCCCACCTGGTCCCGGCGTCATCCTGGCGGTTAGCCAAGAGAGGAATAAAGTAACGTAATCAGCCAGAGATGTAACCGATTGCCTGAGCTCAAATCCGACGACATGAAACCCACCATCCATCTTAATCCCCTCCAGGTAGCAACTCGTTCACCAAGTAGCAGCCCACTAACAAAACTGCTTCCAAAGTTACTAACCGTCGTTAACGGTGGGGACTCTGTTTTCCGGCGAGTTCAAGTGAGCAGAGAAAACAGGACTTTCAACAAGAACCCAGAGTAACCCAAGAGGGTTTTTGGTCGTCAGAAGACCCTTAAGCATTCCCCACCAGTCGAACGACCTCCTAACCCCACCATTTGTCACTCCCAAATAGGACGAATTCCGGCGAGGTAAAGCGGCCGACCTGATATGTAACACTGCCTGCGGTCAAAACCTTCAAGGCTAGACCCACTATCAAAACAACCTCGTCCAAGCTTGTCCAACCTGTTCACCATCCTATCATCCCCCCCCCCCCCCCCCAAATCAAAGATGAAGCCATGGATAGTAACCGTTTTTTTAGCCGGAGAAGGTATTTTTCTGGTGAGCTTTGCCTTCCGGCGGTCGAGGTATTAGCCAAATCTTCACCTCCATGTAAACCAACAACACATCTGGTTCATATCCGTAGGCCTCAAACCCCACCTTATCGCACCAAACCCCCATGTCAGACCCGTTCACCTCCGTTACACACCCCATCTCAAGCTAGTATCCGGCGTTACTAACTGTCAGCGGCGGTGACTCAGCACTTTCCAGCGAGATCTTAAATCATTGTACAGCAACCAGTAAACCAAGCTCCTTAAGATCCAAAAACAAATTTCAGTAACACGAATCAAAATACTCAAGAGAAAGGGCATTAACAATTCAACCTAACAGCCTCATAAAAACCACCGAAGTGGTGGAGGATTTTTCCAAAAATGACCATAGTACCTAAAAGACCCGCCGGAGCGAGGAGGGCCCCGGCGGCGGCAGCCACTGTGAGTGGTGGTGCTGACCTGAAGAAGAACGGAAAGGGGAGAATCTAGCCGCGAATGGCAAGAGAGACGCTCTCAACTTCTCTTTAGTTGTTTACATTTTAAAAAAGAGAGGATGGATACAATCACTTCACTTTGTATCACTTCAAAGTTCAAATTTAAATTCCAATTATATACTTCTCCTGCGTTCTCTTTCAATGGCAACACTTCGGGCCGGTTTACTAACAAAGATATTTTCCTATTTTCTACTTCTGTTTTTATTTTTCAGTTTTTCTATCTCCAGTTTTCTGTTTCTATTTTCTAGTTTTCCATTTTCAAATATGAAAACATGTTCATCAATTTTTTCACCCAGTTCTGTGATCATCAAGAACACTGACACGTTTACTTCACGGGTTACTAAATGGTGCTTATTAAGACTCGTGTTAATAAGCGACGCATAAAATAAGCAATGTTATAAGATCATGTTTACTTCAAAAGGTTTAAAACACTATTTAACATTAAAATGTCCAAAATAACTCTATACATATTGTTGGTCCCGGTTATACTGGGTACAGTCTAGAGGGGGTGGGTTAATAGACTGTATTGGTTTTTGACTTTTTCTAGCTAAGTACCAGATTTAACAGAATAGCCTGTTCTGTTGGCGGAACAGACTGGCAGCGGATGGTCTTCTAGTAGGGGTTCTGTCCGGTTAGCCTCTAAGAGATGCAAAGGCAGTAGGCCTTCAGTTAACTCATAGGAGGGGTTCTGCTGAACACAGAGACTCAATTTCTAGAGTTAATCAGTTTAAAATAAATGTTGGAATTAAAAACAGTAAGTAAATGACACCAGGGATTTTATAATGGTTCAAGGAACAACTCGTTCCTCTAATCCACTGTTCCACTAAGCTTGTAAAAGACCCAATTACACAGCCTTAGTCCTAGCACTTAAGAAGCTCTCCACATCTTCTTCAAGCCTAGATGTCTCTTGGGATACACTTCCTTGCTTCCTTTAAGACTGGTCCTTTCACTGAGCTTCCTTTAAGTATCACCACTTCACTACTCAAGTTACTTGGACGTCCTTCTCGTTGGAGAAGAGTTCTTGTGAGAACAGGGGTTTTCCAACTAGCTTCGTTACAAAGGATATGTAGTTGAAGAGCTTGAAGTGTTGAAAAACTGTAGGAACGATTCTTTTTACGTTGGAAAGAAAAGATATCGAGGTTATAATCTTTTCCAACGTTTTTGGAATGTTGCTCGTGAAGAATGAAAGTTTTAAGTCTGTGAGCGTTTGAATATTTTTCTTTCAGTAGTATCGTTCTTTTTTTGTTCTTCGAAGTGTATCTCTTATACTGAGGTTGTTTTCCCATTGGAGGAGGAGGAGGACAACTGCATTAAATGCGCGTACAGTTGACTTGACCAGTAGGACCCAGTAAAGTTGGTGAGTTTCTATTTTGGGATAAAGTTATCCTGAAATGTCGGCCAATCATCAGCTTTTACTCTTCAGGGTACGGGATGCATTAAATGCGCATTTAATGTGCGTACTGTAGCTGTTCCGTTCAAGTCTCCTAGCCGTTGAAGGAATCTTCAGCTGGTTTCACCGGCTGAGGTAGTTCCATGAAAATTCTCTAAGTGTTAGGCCTTCTGGTGTCTTCAGCAGAGGGTCAATCAGAGAAGGTCTTGAGCACTTCTGTTGGAATAAGCTACCAGAGGGTCCTTAGGTCTTCTGTCAAGGAGTGAGCCAACAAAGGGTCTAGACAGTTTCTGTTGAAGTGAAGTCCAACAGAGAGCCAGAGGGCCTTCTGTCTGGATATGAACCAACAGAGAGCCAAAGGTCTTCTGTCTGGACTAAGTCAATCAGAGGGTCTTCTGTCAGGAGGTCTTCTATCAGTCGACTATTCTTAAGAAACTTTACAAGGAAAATTTCTAATACAAAACATCTAAAGAGGGGTACTCTAAAATCTTAATTAATATAGCATCATCAAAATCTAATTACAATTATTCCTTACAATTTCCCCCTTTTTGATGATGCCAAAACCCTTTAACTATTTCCGGAGAAGTGCCTTTCACCATAAATAAATAAAGTTAAAAAAATTCATTAAAAATCTTGGTGGGCAACTTGACATAGGAAAATAGTAAGAGTAAGATACAATCAAGATAGCAGGCAATAAATCAAGATAAGAAAAACAAAAATGAGAAGACAAGCATTCATAGCAGAATATAAGAGCAGATAGAGGTGAATAGCCTTACAAAGTGAAAGGAAGAGATGTTATCTTATTAAGGGATAAAGTACATAGATTCCATTACAAATTGTCCCTTTCTGCTGCAGCCATTGCTTGATCTTCTAATCCTTGCAATTTGTTTAGTTCTGCATTGACTGCTTCTCGAATCCCTATAAGATTGCCAGAGCTCTGATATGAGGCCCAGATGGGTGAGAACTTGCAATCCATATAGCTAAGGACACCTTCATGAATGTCCTTTCCTGGAAGAATTTTGTTGTGATACCAAAATTCAGCTTCTTCCAAGGAACTGCCATGTCTGACTTTCACAAGACCATCTCTGTCAAGATAGAGATTCTATTGTTGAGTGGGAGTCATCTTTTGTTTCATCTCTTCAAATTGGGATTTATCAATCCTTTGAAATCTGCCCAATCTCCATTCCATGAAACTCATAGCCTTCTTCTTCTTAGAGGCCTTCTTAGGTGGAGATGGGGTCCTAGGTAATCCAAGAGCTCTTTTCTTCTGGATTGTTGCATCAAAATATGGTGCAGGGTCAATAGTTAGGTTGGCAAAAGGTGATGCTCTAGCAGATCGAGGCTTAAGAGGTTGAGGGTGCTCTTCCTCCTTTCTAGCAGAGTAGATATCCTTAGAGCTTGCTTCTAGGAGTACCATCTTCTGGTATCTCTCCTTGTCATTCTTGATGAGAGTAGAGGCTTGCTCTTTGTGTGACTTACAGAGCTCCTCAATGTGTAGTAGTTGCTCTCTGTTTTTTTCATCATTCCATTGAAGGGTTTCTATTTCCACAGAGATACTTTTGATCTTCTCATACTGTTTGTTGAGAGATTGGGAATGGAAGTAAAGTACAGAGTTGATATCATCCTCTTCCCTGGAGACTGCATCTACCTTTGCATTGGAAGATTTCATGAAGGAAGTTAAGACTTGGGTTAGAGAGTCAACCTTTGCAGAAATTTGTTGTAACCCAGCTTCAAGATTAGTGTTGACTTGGGTTAGATGCTCATAGTGCTTGTCATTGATCAACACCAGTTTATTCATGTTATCCAGCATCTGTCCTCCAAAATCTTCAGCAGCTTGAACAAACTGATTGAA